CCTCCCCCATTTCCTCCCTCGCCCCCACCCCCAGAGATTGCTGTCTTCGACTATGCCTTTTGCCGCAGAATATATTCAGAGAGGATCTATTGCACCATTTACATGACCTTCCAGCAGCTACCAACAAGTGTGGTGCTTACCTTCAAGATGGCAGACGGCACGACAGTGCAGGAACAGCCATTGACCAACTCCAAAACGATGACGTACACTGCAATGTTCGTTGGATTTTCGCCTTTTGGGACAGTAGAAGCCATTCTCCAGTTGGGCACCGTCATCACTGTTGGGCCCTACCCAATCAGCGACGACTCCCTTCCTCCCCCGCCCCCCAGTCCCTTCCCGCCGCCCTCTCCACCCCCTCCCATTGCCATCGTGCTGAGCGATGCAATGTGCAAGCAGCAGGAGGACGAGCTCTACAGGTGCCAGGTCCAGGTGGCCAGTGATAGGCTGCTGGCGCTCATCATCGTCGAGTACAAGGTCGGCGGGGTGGATGCCTCCCAGACCTATGCGCCCGATGACCTGATCACGATGAGCACCGTCACCGTCACCACGAACTCCATGGTGGGGTCTGTGTCGGCAGTCGGCCAGGACAATGACGGACAGCAGCTGAGTGTATCACCGATCCCAATCACCGCATTCCCACCGCCTCCTCCCCTTCCACCTCTGCCTCCGGTGCCCTCACCGGCGCCCCTGCCGAGTCCAGTTCCATCTCCGCTTGTGCCCTCACCAACACCCATGCCGGCCCCAGCCCCAGCACCTACATCCCCACCGACACCTCCAGTACCCTCCCCATCAGGCGCTCCCCCACCTTCCCCAACACCTCCACCAAACACCCCCCCACCGAGTCCAGCCCCAAGCCCATCGAGCGCTCCTCCACCGAGTCCAACCCTTTCGCCACCGAGCACACCCCCGCCGAGTCCAGCCCCAAGCCCATCGAGCGCTCCTCCACCGAGCCCCGTGTTGCCACCCGCGCCCGCTCCAGTTCCTTCCCCTGTGGCTCCATCACCCTCGTCCCCATCCCCGTCACCTCCATCTCCATCCCCACCACCTCCTCTTCCACTCCCCCTCCCACCTTCCCATCTCCCCCCCACCTTCCCCATCTCCATTGCCTCCTTCCCCATCCCCGCCGCCACCATCAAAATCACCCCCTCCCCCGCCACGCTCGAGCCCTTCTCCCCCTCCCGTAAAGCCCTCCCCTCCTCCCCCAAGGTCCCCTCCTCCCTCTCCCAAGAAGGTATCCCCGCCCCTCCCAAGAAGGCGCCCCCACCGCCCCCAAGAAGGCGCCCCACCTCCCCCAGAAAGGCCTTCCCACCTCCCCCAAGAAGGCGCCCCACCTCCCACAAGAAGGCGC